GCCCTGTTATCCCAAAAGGTGTTTTCATTCAGGATGGAGTGCAGTTTCAACCTCTTATCAAGACCCCTAGTGGGAGCCGGACCATGACAGTGCAGCGAATAATCTTGATACAATAACCACTTGGCCACATTGCCACGAGTGCCCTTGGATCACAGGGCAGATTTGAATTTCAAGGAAGGCCAAGGGCATTCATGGCAATGTGGCGTAGTTGTCAACATGTCGAGATTACATGCTGCACTGTCATGGTGTTGATAAGACCTAGGTGAAGTTGAAACTACAAGCCACCCTGGATGATAACACATTTTAGGAAAGCAATGCTAAGTGAAATTCAATGGAAGCGTAAACTCTACTCATATCATTGTGAGAAAATTCAACTATTAGTCCTTCATCACCTTAAATGAAATAGGATGAATACATCTCATATAACTAAGTTACTGGTAGCCTCGAAACCCTAATTATGAAAAAATAATAATAAAAGGTCAACAACAAAATGTGTTTTGAGCCCATCCAAAATTATGCTAATTGTAGAGTTTTATGGCTCCTATTTTAAAATACCACACTGCTCACATGGACGAGACAATATATGATAAGGTTATACTTTTAATATAAAACAAGTTGTCTCCGTAAAAACAAGCGTTTATATGGGAAGCAAGATGCTTAATCTTTTTTTTGGTCGCAATATCCTTTAGATGTATAGTGTTGGTTTGACCTCGTTTTGGTAACAAGTCAGAGCGACAGAGAGAACTAGCAAAATGTACCTCGTCCATCGTTCTATGCCATTTCCGAACGGCTTCTGAAATTGGTTATAAAAGTGACTATGCCTTAATAAATACACTTGAAGCAACACACTCTTGGACTGCATTAGGGGGAACGAGAACATAGAATGATGCGAATAGGTAAATGGGAGAATGAAGTGGTGTTAAGAGAAAGAGATGCAGTACTGGATGCTAGGACAGTAAAATAGGGACGATGAGTGATGCCATAACGGTTAAAAAAATTGATCAAGGGGTATGCATTCACTGGCCACTTTGATAAGTTGTAACAATGTGCCTATCACTGACGATGCCGGCGAAATGTTTGGGTATGTATCAAAATCGGCGGTCGTATGCTTGAAATCGTCATGAATATAATGGTAGAGAACGCAGGAGCAAGTACGTCTCTAAAACCAATTCACTAACGAATAAAGTAGATACATTCTCAGTCTCCCTACTACCCTGATCAAGATAAAAAAATGAGGTCAAACCAACACAAAACAGCGTTTACTGAACAAACTCCAGGGAAATTAGAATAATCCACGTAATCATAG